GAGAAGGGCCCGGCGGCGGTGCCGGCTGGAGGAATAACGAGCGGGAGGGGGGTGTCTGGGGAGTTGAGGCGCGAAAGCCCGCGCAAGCGCGCAGGTTCCCCCCCTTATGGGGCTCTCTGCGCATGCGCGGTGATATCCCGGGCCATGAGCGTGCGCGGTCAGGGTAGCATGGCGTGGCCTAGGCGTGGTGAGGGGAGCGCCTCTTCTGTGACTTTCCCCCACTTTTGGTGGGGTCTGCGGTTCGGAGCCGCACCGGGGAGTGACTTTGAGCTGTTAAGTGGTTCCTAGAGCTGAGTCTCACGAAAAAGCAGCGGAAGGGGGCAAGTTCGTGGAGTCATAGAATGGCCTGGGTTGGAAGGGACCTTTCAAGGCCACCTAGTCCAACCCCCTTCCAGTGAGCAGGGGCATCTTCAACCCGATCCGTTTGGCTCAGAACCCCATCCAGCCTGACCTTGAATGTTTCAAAGGGTGAGGCTTCTACCACCTTTCCGGGTAGCCTGTGTCAGTGCTTCAATACTCTCATTATAATAAACTTCTTTGTAATATCTGGTCTAAATCTCCCCTCTTTTAGCTTGAAACCATTACCCCTTGCCCTGTTGTTACAGGCCCTATTAAAATATTTGCCCCCGTCATTCTTACAGGCCCCCTTTAAGTTCTGAAAGGCTGCAATAAGGTCTCCCTGGAGCCTTCTTTTTTCTAAGCTGAACAACCCCAACTCTCTCAGCCTCTCTTCATAGGAGAGGTGCTCCAACACTCTGATCATCTTTGTGGCCTCCTCTGGACTTGCTCCAGCCGGTCCATGTCTTTCCTGTACTGAGGGCTCCAGAGCTGCATGCAGTACTCCAGGTGGGGTCTCACAAGAGCAGAGCAGAGAGGGAGAATCCCCTCCCTCGGCCTGCTGGCCACACTTCTCTGGATACAGCCCCGGATATGGGTGGCTTTTTAGCCCAGGATATGGTTGGCTTTCTGGGCCGCGAATGCACATTGCTGGCTCATGTTCGGCTTTTTGTCCACCAGTACCCCCAAGTCCTTCTCCTCAGGGCTGCTCCCAATCCCTTCATCCCCCAGCTTATATTGATAGTGGGGGTTGCCCTTCCCCATGTGTAGGACCCTGCACTTGGCATTGTTGAACCTTATGAGGTTCATATGGGCCCACTTCTCAAGCTTGTCCAGGTCCCTCTGGATGGCATCCCATCCCTCATGGGTGTGGACCACACCACACAGCTTGGTATCATCTGCAAGCTTGCTGAGGGTGCACTCGATTCCACTAGCTATGTCATTGATGAAGATGGTCCCAAGTTCCTTTCAGGGTATGAAAAGACCCGGCCCACTGGGGACTCCTTATAGGCAAAATATAACTCACATCTAAGATGGTAAAATCAGACCTGATAAGTTTATGTGACATACAGGAACAGCTAGAACTATGCAATATTGCTGTAAAGCACAGAGGTATGAATGCACATTAACAGGGTCAAGGTCAGTGTGGAAGCACATGCGAATGCCGGAGTTACAGTAAGGCTTTCGTGTAGGACTGCTTTGTGAGCAAAAAAACCCACCCCAAAATGTAAGCTTTGGTTTGTGTTGCAAGCAGTAAAATGTGAGCAGGAGTAAGAAAGACTTGGGGCTGTGTCCTGTGACTGAATTGAGCACAAAGCAGTTGCTTTGTGATACACAGCAGAAACAAGTTTATGCGGATGTGCCTTCTACAGCTGTGGTTATGTGAGTGTCCTGCCTGCAGCGCTCTAGGGCCTGGGCACCTGGAACTTGTCTGATCTCCCTGCATCCCAGCTCAGGGTGTTCTGCTTGTGTAAACTCTGTTCTGGTCTGAAATACTTAAGAACAGGTGCTGTTTTCAGCTAGATCTTGTCTCTAAGGCAAAAATTGTCTTTACTGATTTATGTTCAGGATTTTCTTTCTAAGATGCAGTAATTCGTGAAACTACTTTAAAGCCATGGTAGCCCCAAAAATAAAGAATTGCAAATTCTATGTAATGCAATTTTCTTTGTATAACTTCTTGTCTCTTGAAATTAGGGCTTTAAGAGAAGCATCAAATACGAGATTTATAATAATAATTCAGAGTTAGTGCAACATTTCCAGTTATTTTACCCATTAATATTTTAATTAATTCTGACTTGTACAGAATTGCGTTGATCTGCTTTTGCTGTATGAATGAGACTACTATGGATTCAAAACTTGCTGTTTTATAGGTGCTCTTCTAGCAGCACAGCTGTGGGGAAGACTGTGGACAATTCAGAAGGTATGATGTCTTAATTACTAGTTTCTTGCATGTGGTGTTTTAATCCACAAACATTATAGTGCGTCAGGAGGTAAAGAAGACATGAGTGACCTCTTTCCCCTTCTTGGGTTTTCTTTTGCCCGTCTTCATTGTGCAGAGATTTCCTGGTTTAAGTTGATTACCCTCACCACCAGCCAGCTCTGAGAGCATGAACTGAGTTACCCAATGCCATGAGCTGTTCAGTTGCTCTTTGAAATGGAATAAACTATAAAGTAAAAATAAGGAATTTTCCACCTTGATCCTGACAGTTTCCTTCAGTTTCTTGCTTCTTCTCTGTACTCCTTTCCATATTTTTTGCTACCAGTTTTGTGAGAAAAGTAAGCTGAGATGCTTGCAGCTGTGCTGCACATGGGAACAAGTTCCTGGCAGTAACAGCTCATGGAAACATCAACACAGAGGCAGTGGGAAAAGTGCCTCTGCAGATCTGACTCTGAGGGGTTTAATTGGGATTTCTCGCGTGCTCCCCTGCGAATGAATTTGCAAAGTGCTTTACTAACAACTTCTAGGTTCTTCTTTTGGTACTGTCCTTTCTTCCTCTTTGGGAAGACTGGGAAAGTTGATCCTTGGGGTGGAAGGAACTGAGCAGTTGGTGTCAGGCTGTTGGAGCAGGAAAGGGAGAGGGCGCTTTGCTGCAGTCTTCACACAGGCTAAACTGGAGAAGCCATATGGGGAGATACGGCAAACTTCAGACTGGGGGACTAAGTAGGAAAGCAGGGGACTGCAAAAGTTCAGGGCTCAAGTGAGAAGATACGGGATAAGGGTGACTGAAGAAGCTTGGATGGGTAAATGAGTAAAATCTTTCCGAGGTTTGCTTACTGCAAGGCCCTGATCTTGTCTGGACCCAAGACACTTAAGCTCCCTGCCAGTTTTTTCTGTTACAATTGCGATAAATTGTGGCTCACGTTAGACTGTGGGTTTAAAATCCTTGTTTTAGTGCTTCCAGCTGGATCAGCTTAAATCATCAATTTTCATGAGGTCAGGATTTTCTTTGGACATCTGTTTGTTTCTAATAACAATTTTAATGTTGTTTCTCACAGTTGCTCGAGAAGAAATTGTACTTCCCCGAAGGAAAACCTGGTGAGTGTTTACTGCTGGAATATCTCTGTCTCTCAACCTGCAAGACAATCACTGCTAGCTAGAAGCTGAAAAAAAAAGAATGTCAGGTTGCTGCATTCCTGGATTTAATGTCCCACTAGTGGCTTTCCTTCTGACTGGGAGCTCTGGGGATTTTCTTGACTCTGTGCAGAGTATGTACAGTCTGTTAATGACCTTTATTATAAAAACATCTAGGAGGACTGCATTTTAAGTGTAGTTCTGTTTCTTTGTAAAATGTCACATTCGCTAGGGATCTGTAAAGTCAAGTTCCTTTGGCTCTCTGCATGTATATGCGTTTCTTTCAGCAAAAGAAACTTGACCGTTGATATCTGGTGACATAAATCCTGTTCAGAAATTATGCAGTCGAACGAAAGCTATTTTGTTGGAAGCACTGAAGATGGAATTGCACGACTGTACAGCAGAAACTACATTTATAGCCAAATGGTGTCTGTGTGTAAACTTAAAATATGACCACCTTCCCCTAAACACTTTCAGTGGCTTTTCCTTGTTTGCTTGAAATAAAACCAAAGTCTTCAGGGTCCACAGGCACAAGGAGTTTTGTTTGGGGTTTTTTCCTCCCAGGACTTGCCCTGGAGAGGGACTCTATCCTTCAGAGATGGGGTGGTCTTAAAGGGCTCTGAGGGGAGCATTCATAGTATCACAGAATGGTGTGGGTTGGAAGGGACCTTAAAGATCATCCAGGGAATTCTTTGTGTCCCTTCCTCATGTTCGTTCTTTGATAATGTATAATAAGAGCAGGAGTGGTAGCAGGAAACACACATGCGTTTCTGGTTTTCCTCCAAGTTTTTTTCTTTTTCCTGTGGTTGTACCAGAACTGAAGCCATTTTTGCAATTGAATTTTAAGTGGGATTTTCTAAGCGCAGCAAAACCATTATTTCCTAGAACTGAACATTCTTATGGACCAGGATAGTCCTGTGCTTGTTCTGCATACAGTGTAATGCATAACATTTAAAGTCTGCAACCAAGTATTAATCAGAGTTCCTTTATGTTTAGGGATAAACTAGCTGTTCTTCAAACACTGGCTTCTACTGTGAACAGGGTAAGTAGTTGTGTTGATCATGGAAACGGATCGAGTTATACATCTCGTGCAGTAGCCTTGCGCTCTGGAGGCCACACATTTTGCTGGGTCCTTAAAGCCTCGTTCTGGTGCTGAGAGCGCTGCAGCTACCAGCGGAAGCTGTAATATTTTGATAAGGCTTTTGCTGACATCAGGACCAAGTTCTTTTACGAGTTCATCTTCCCAATCCAGCCTGCCTCTTCCAGTCTCAGTCCATAAAGCAAGCCTTGCAAAGAGCAGTCAGTGTCTACTCTTGCTAGGCAACAACTGTAAAGGCTGTGATAACATTCTTTAATCCTGTCTGTCTTGAATTCTGGAAATTGAATCTGCTCCTGCTGATCCTCAGCTCCCCCGAGACTGTTATAGTTAGCTTCCCGCTTGCTTTGCAGAGCATTCATCGCTTGTCATGTTACAGTAAGGACCCTTTTGTTGTCACTGTGTTAGCCTGCATGCTTTTTTAACTGTTTCCAAACAGGCTAAACCTTTTGAACAAGAGTAGTTTTTGTGACATGGGCATCAGGTGGTGGTTATGATGGAACTGTTCATTGTGCCTTCAATTCCATGAGGCAGTGTGATATGCATATGGCGTGCCTGTGTACGTAGCTGCAAATGTTTCAGTCCTGGGTTCTCCTTTCTACAGGATCCTACTGCTGCACATTATATGTTCCAGGATGACCCTTTCCTTATGCCAAAAAATGCAGCCAATTCTGTAAGTATTTCCTTTCAGATCCTTGAAAGCTTCCTCCCCTTCATCTAGGCTACGAAAACTCAGTATCCAGTTGGAGCCTAGTTTCAGTTACAAAAGAGAACGAAGTACCAGGTTCCTTTCAGAATTTTCTCCTCTGTGTATTTCTGGTTGCATAATGACTGTAGCATTTCTCTTGACAAATCCACCCTGCACGCAGTTACCTCTTCTTCCTGCCCATGTAGGGACCTTCCAGCTGACTCAGCTCTGTTAAAACTTCTGCACATTAGCAGCCAAGGCTGAAGGCAGCTGTTGAAGGTGAAGAGTTTTAAAGGAAACAGCAGAAGAAGATCTGACTTGAGAACTTGAGGAAAAGAGATGAATGGGAATTGGGTGATGCTCTTGGAAATGGCAGTCAGGGAGAGAAACGTCCAAAGAGAGGTGCTTTTGAGCTTGAGGTGGTAGTGCAGCATTTCAGATGTCTGGTACAGAACTTTGTCCCTTGGCTAAGTAATGGAAAAGTGAATTACAGTCTCATTTAAATAATAGACATTCTTATATTGGCATAAATACCCGAATGTTTCTCTGGAATGTGGTCTCGTGCCTGTGTTTTTACTAAGAGCTGAAAAGAAAGCATGAGTTTAATTTGATTCCATCAGAACCTCAGTGTTACTGAAATTGTTTTTCTCACTCTCAGCCTTTTAATTGTGTGTTTGTTCGTCTTGTTCCCTTACTCCTATGCAGCGTCTGTTTTCACTGTCGAAGGAGTCTGGGAGAAATGCTGCAAAATACATTATTAAGCATTTTCCTCAATATTTTGACAAGACTTTTGCAGAGCCCAACGTACTGGTAAGCTTACTAACATAAAAGCTATTTTTGTTAACAGTTTTGCAGTTTGGTTGTGAAAGCAGTGCTGTATTTCCGGTGTCTTTCGGAAGCGAAAATTTTTCCTCAGGAATTCAGTAGCAGATCAGGTTCTTTAGATAAAAATAAGGAAAGAAATGTTGTTTAGATGTTGACTTCTTAGCATGAAAGTGGGAGCTCAGGCTGTGTGGTCCTTCACCACCTAAAAGACTGCTGCTGTTAGGCTGGGGTGGGCGGGAGATTATCAAAGCAGTGTATTGCATGAAGACTAAGCATATTTGGTTAGTGGTTCAAAGGTTTGAGCTCGTGTCTAACTTGCACTCTTTGCTTTCAGTGCTTGATGCCTGAGACTCTTACACCTCAGGTTGAAGGACTGAGTGAGGAAGCTCTAAAAGAGCGTATCCACCTCAGAATGGTGAAGGATTCTGTGAACCTGTTTGATCAGCTCGTACAAGCAGGTATGTGGTCACCTGCCAGATTCTGTGGTGGAGCTCTACTTAAATTATGGCCAGAATATTTTAGTAATACACAGGCACAGGCTATGGAGACAATTCATGATTATGTTGCTGCCTTTCACAACTGACTGTGATCTAGTGAAGTGCGTCTCTGGAATTATTGGGCCCTCCTTATCCACTGCTCGTCTGACATGTCACTTTGGTGATGAGGAGAACAAATGATTTCTTGATCAAGCAGCAGGTGAGGGGGAGGGGACTTTTTACAAGGGCCTGTAGTGACAGGACAAGGGGTAACGGGTTTAAATTGAAAGCAGGGAGGTTTAGATTAGATATCAGGAAGAAACTCTTCACAGAGAGAGTGGTGAGGCACTGGCACAGGTTGCCCAGAGATGTTGTGGATGCCCCATCCCTGGAAGTGTTCAAGGCCAGGCTGGATGGGGCTTTGAGCAACCTGGTCTAGTGCAAGGTGTCCCTGCCCATGGCAGGGGGGTTGGAACTGGATGATCTCTAAGGTCCCTTCCAACCCAAACCATTCTATGATCTGTCGTTGAGGTTTTTTTTCTTCTCTTCCAAAGTAGAAGAATTTGTGATGCAGTAGAGTAGGGCCTGTTGTAGGCAGATGCTGTGTCATTGGCGATACCATTCTGCCTGCTGAGTCCCTCATGAAGTAGCGTATTGGTTGGTATAAGCTACTCTGCGTCAAGCACTTTGCTGCTGTGTTGGACTGGAACAGCATACCACCCAAGTGCCCCTTCTGCAGACCTGCCCTCAATAAATGAGTCTTTCTCAGTTCCTCCTTAATTTGGACCTTATCCCTGTCATGAGGGAATGCGAAGGAAGCAACAGAAAACTATAACTGCCATGGTATCTGAAGGAATAAAGGTTATGGGGAAGGTGAGACCTTCCAAGTCTCTGATGATTCCATGGAAGAGCTCTTTTCTTGGTTTTAAATCTGTTTCATAGAAAGTGAAATACACAAAGCGGTCTTTACAGCAGTGTTTATCCTAGGAGTAGTTGTGAAAGGCACCAGCAATTTCACATGCTGTATTGGGCTTGTTCTGATTCACAGTTTTGACTGCTAGCTGCCACTTTGCTCTCCCACTCAGTCAGGAAACCACCCTTTCAGTGGCTTCAGTAGAAGAAGAGGTGCTGTAGTTCTGTGTTAAAACTGCCTCCTGCTACGAATGGGTTTGTAGAAGTATTAACCCAGGTTTTACAGACTTGCTAGAGGACACCTTTATGTTGAACGAGAACAGAGTCATAACTGAGTGTTTGAAAGTTTTCTGGTATTGTTGTAGAACGGTGTGTTCTTTACTTTCTTTGTGACTGTTGTACGCTCCCACCTTCCTGTAGGTACCCCGGTGTCTCTGGAGACCACAAACAGCCTTTTAGATTTGTTATCCTTCTATGGAGATGTAGAATCTAGTCCAGAAAAAGAGGAAGGAAAAAAAGAGGAAGAAGAAAAAGAGGATTTGGAAGAACCAGGGGTATGAAAAAACAGTTGATGTCTATTTCTTTCCTATGTTGTAGGAGTCTACCAAGGTGATATCAAGTTTTTTGTACTGAGACTACCTACTTGGGAGATGGTGTGAGGTGGGCCAGATGCAGTCAGTATTCCCTAGAGATACAGCACTTAAAACAGTCCTGTGTCTAACCTACTGGTAGAAGTAGTTTCCATAAAGCTGAACTTAGCTGGAACCATGTCTTGGTTTAGTTCTGCTGAAGTGCATTTAATCTCACTGACATACTTTTTATACTTTCATGCAAAGAAAATCTCTAGTATTTCTAGTGTAAAATCAGCTGGATAATTTTCTTTCAGTCTGAACCATAATAACTAGATTTCAGTGAAGTTGAGGGCTCCTTATGTGACCTCAGAGTATCAGGTCACAGGGTACAGTGGTAGTCATGTTGCACAATGCTTGTCCCTGGAAGGCTGTTGAGGGAGAAGGGGTTTTAGAGTATTTGCTATAGTCTAATGATTCCCACCAACTCCACAAATACATATGATTTGCCTTGTGAGTGTGTGATGAAATAAACCGTATTCTTAATCTAGTTATTGCTTCTTGAACATTATAATGGAAATTATCATAATGTAGCCCATTAAAAAACACCTTTGGTAGTACATAAACTGCTGCTGAACTTTCATGTTGTTGTCAAATCACATCATTTGCTGTTTAATCATAACTTTGAACTCTGAGAAACTTACTTGTGAAAAAATTTCTCCAGGTGAACGCTTCAGAGCAGAAAGCTCCGAAGAGAGGGTTCCAAAGAGGTTCGCAGTCATTTGGCTCTAGATGGAGGTATAGAAAATGTTGCCAATATTCTTGTATTCAGTGGGTTGTGCACGTGCGTCCTTGTCCTAAACCAGACTTCATAGCTGTGGAGTACAGCCCATTGTTTTGCTCTGTATGTTAAACCCTTTTCCTAAAGCTGTTGTTCATTGAGTTCTTTAACATTCAGCTTATCTGTTGATTCTAGGGAGAACAACAGTGCCGAAAGGATATTTAAGATAATGCCAGAGAGGAATGCACACTCCTATTGCACAGTGATCCGTGGGATGGTGAAGGTAAAGTTGTCCTTCAGTGCTGGGAGGGCTTTTTTCGGCTTGTGAAATCTCACACAGTCATAGAGAGTGTTTATTTTTGTTGGGGTTTTTTTTGCAGCACGGGGCTTACACTAAAGCTTATGACATGTACATAGACTTGCTGAATGAAAGACACAAGGGTAAGTGTCTCTTGGTTTTGCTTTGTGGTGGGAGTCACACAAACCCGTTGCTGGGTACATGGATATTTGTTTCACGGCAGTGATGATTGGCGCAGGGGTACGGACCTCAGCTGGATCATGGGAGCTGAATGCAAACTGTTTAATTCAGTGCAGCTGGCATGTGGCTGGCTCACTGGAGACAGGTTTGCATGAGACTTCGCCAAAAACTGAGCCGTCTTAGAACAAGGTGTTTCCTGTAGAACCTAATTGTCAGTTACAATGAATTATCTTACGTTTTCCAGCTGACGTACACACCTTCAATGCACTGATTACAGCAGTCCCGTATCTCAAGGAGAGGTTCGTAGAAAGATGGGAATTAGCCAAGGTAAGGAGGTAAAATGAAAGAGGTGGGTAAGGGGTAAGAGAACAGGGGCTGGGTCTGCTTCATCGGTAGAGCTTTGCAGTTATTAGAATACTAAACCCAAGAGCTTTGTACCAACGTACCGATACCTGTTGCAAAGGAAGTACGTTAGTTTAAACGTGCCAGCTGGCTATTGAGGAGTGGAAAATGTACAAAATCCAACCTTGCCCGTGCAGAATGGTTTGCCTTGTGAGAATGTACCTGATTCAAGAACTGCCCAGACAGAAGGTACTTGAAAAATTATGCTGGAGGATGAAAACAAACCATTTTAGATGAAAACTCTTTGAATTGTAATTCACAGCGGTGTCCTGGAAGTGGAATATGGAGGGGTGGGTAACATTAGAGGCTCCACTTTCAGTAACGTAACACGAGTAAGGAAAAATAGCATGTAAATTTGAAAATTTCCTTGATGTTCTGGGCACAGTTCTCAGATATCTAATCTGTAGATGTGATTTTGTACTCTGTCTTTTGGTCAAATTAATTACAGATTAGGTGGTACTCTGTTAATAATGATCAGCTGAAGTTCACTTGAAGCAGGTGAGGAGGATTAGGTTGAGGAAATGCATGTTCACCTACCTGAAACCTGAACTGCGATCCGTAAAATGTGAAGCACTAAGGATTTGTGGATTTTTGTTGAAGGACTTCCTGAATCACATGACTCAACAGGAAGTGCAACCAAATCTGCTAACATTTAATGCTTTACTGAAGACTCTGAGAAGATGTGGTGGTGTAGGCAGAAGTGTGGCTTTATTGGTGATGAAGGAAATGGAGGCACTTGATATAGGTAAGACAACCAGACTGGTTATTATATTCCAGTGCCGATTCCAAAATAGTTAAGAGTTCCAGAGCAAACAACGCATTGATTCCTAGTTGCAAGGAAGAAGTCCAGGGCTTAGGGAAAAAAGCATTTCTCACTGAGAAATAAAAATGTGCAAGTACTAGGCTGTGGGCATTCAGCAAGCCAGTGCCTGTGGATTTCAGATTGAATCGTCGTGTTCAGTCCTTGTTCAGGGTCAGTTACTGATTACGGTGCAGCCCCTTAGGTCAAATAACAAAACTTTCTGACCCTGTCATCTTTTGGGTTAGGAGCATGTTTATCGTTACACATTTACCTGTGGTTACCTCTGGCTACTGAAGGATAAATGGGGGTGTGTATGCAGCGGGGGAGTGTGACCTGGCCTATAGGCTTCTTCTTGACCAGGTCCTCACTGTAGTACTGCTGTAGAAATGTAAGAGTATATATATTTGCAGCAGTCAGCTGAGCCTGCTAACTTCCCATAGATCAAGGAGATACGCTCCACAAGCCACCCCAGACGGTTCAGGTCTATATATCTACATCTCTACAGAAAAAAGCTTTTGATCTACATAATGTTTTCTGATGTCAAATAAACGCTGCAAAAATGAGGAGTATCTGCACAACTGACCTGATGTCTTGTGGAGTGTGCTTTGCCCTAGTAACATGTTTGTTGATAGGCTAAAGATAGGTTCGTGAGCAGAAGGGAAACTAGGTCTGAAACATTTTTGCTTTTCACTGAAGCAGGGAAGTTTGGCTGCTCGCACCATAGCAGTGCGGTGCTTCAGCTGGTGGTCCACCCTTGGATAGCATCTCTGCCAGTTATAACGTGTTTGTGAGGTCTGGTCCAGCATTAGGGTGGATGGGTGAGCAGGTTTTAGCTGGGGACGACCACGACAACGGGGAGAGAAATGACAGAGTAAATGTATGGATGCTGGAAGGGCTGGAGACTGAGAATTAGAGCTCAGCTGTGAAGCTCAGCCAAGATTGTCCAAGTAACTCCAGTGTTTTTGCTTTTCAGAGCCTAGCCTTGCAACGTATGATCATCTTCTCTTTATATTTTATAGAGGCGGTACGTGCAATATCAACTTGTCTGTGAACGTGTCCTGTTTAACGTCTGCTTTAAATGATTCACAAATGTGATGGGTGAAGGCACTTGATTTATGGCTTAAAAAACAACTTCTTTTGCTTGCAGTCCTACTGTTACCTGTGCCCTCTGATTCTTCCTGACTGAACAAAAAGCTACAGAGGATCATAACCTCTTACATGGAGGGAAA